CATACAACCCCAGAATCTGCACCTTATCAATCTTTCATCATGTTCACAAATTGGATCCAAAATGGTGTACTTTAGTCCACAATACATTGCATAGGTCTCTGTGATACCTATGAAGAGTCCACATCAACTTTAATTTGGTGCTATATTTATTTCTAATAAATCAGTGAGTAAATCGCCTCTCCTGTGTAGACACGTCGTTATATGTGTTAAATGCCTTATAATTGAAAGAGTAGTTTACACAGTTATATTACTATAAAATAAACTTATTTCCTTAAAATGATCATCAGATCAATCTTTCTTCATCGATCTTCTTTATTTTTTTTCTTCTTTATTAATGATCTTCTCTATTAATGATCATTAATAAAGACAGTAATTGATATTCTCTATAAAATAAACTTATTTCCTTTTTTTTCCTTCTTTATTAATGATCTTCTCTAGTACTACGTATCTCTTTATGGTTAAATTGATATTTTATTCAGAACAAAAACATGATTGACATGATTGGAGAAAAGGTTATGCTTTAGTACTACTTAGGAGAATTCTTTCTATTTTATGGCTCGTATGAAGCTGCAAAGCATTACTCCGTATTTCATAAAAAGACTACTCAGAAAAAGAATTGTTCTATGTATCATATGATGTTGAAGCAATGAAAGGATATAAGAGAACTGACTCAATAAATTACATTGATTTCATCTTATGACAGTAATTGTAATTATTAAAAAGATAGCCACAAATATATGAATGAAATAAAGCCCGGTACTAGACAAAAATGCAACATTTTATACTTTAGTAGCTATTGTATTAACTTTAGTGACAATGACTAGTTCAAATGTTCAAAGCTACACTATAGTAACAATATTTCTATAAGGAATATTTGATGGGCATGAAGAAGCTTCGGGGGAGAGCAGGGGCGGAGCCAAAGGGGGGTCAGGATGGTCAGTCGACCCCGCTGAAAGTTCAAGAATGTAGAGTTCTGAATTATCTTCGATTTGATATATTATGGGCCTCGCAACTCATTTCGAGTAAAAAGTTACGACTTCTATGAAAAATCAACATCATTCGAACTTGAGACGAGCAAAATTTGATTTGTGATATTGATTATATTCTTAAATTTAAAAACAAAACACCTTATTGACTCAATAATTGTCTGAGTTTTCAATACATGACATATATATCTACACAACAATTGAATAGGTTTCATTAAACTAACATTTATATCAGCTACATAAGACACATTTAACTCAAAATTGTTTAATAACGATCCTACATTTTTATAATGTATATAATTAAATTTCGACCCTCTCACACGTTTTTCTGGCTCCGCCACTGGTGGAGAGTATGGTCGGGGGATGGGGGTGAAGACCGGGGCCATTTTTGTGTCATTGTATTTATAAGGCCGCCGTCCATTTGGGAAGTTGGCCCACGAAAATACTTGCCCAAGTTATTTTATTTGAACAACAATATAAATGTTTAAACATATAATACAAATCTTAATGGTAATCATTTTGGTTTTAGTGATATAGCCTGAAAGATCGTGCACTACCGTCTCTCTCTAGCGTTTCTATCGCCAGAGCTCTTCGTCCGCTATAGACCTCGTTGAGAAGCGGTGTCGCTAAGAGAGCTTTTTTCTCTAGGCGGCCGTCTCCCCTAGGTTTAGGGGTTGCTTTTCTCCGCTTTCGTCTTTGACGAAGAGCGGATTTCTTGTGCGGCATTTGTCCGCCTTCCATGAGGCTCTCTTCTTCGGCAGATTGCAGCGCCTATATGACGGTCAAAATTTGTGTACCCCTAGCAGCAGGTGGAGAGTTTCAAGGATATCGTTCATGGTTGAGATCAGAAGGTCATGGATGAAGCTACACTACTGTTGGACCGTCCCCCTCCTGAACCGCCGCCATGAAGGCAGGAGAGTATAGGGTTTGGAAGCAGTTTTTTAATTTTACTGATTACTTGCTTTTTATTTTTCATGATCAACCTGTTTATTTTTCTGCTAGTTACTTTTATTATTGTAAGATTCTTGCATTAGGATCAACGAGTTATATTGTTTTTTTGGAGGTGATTAATTCTAAGTCTGATTCAAGGATTGACGGTTGTATGTGGTTCTTTTTTGTCATTTTAATCTCTATCTGAATGCTGTGATAGTAATTTAAGCCATAAATTTTTATGATAAAAAAATGATATAGCCTGAAAGATCGTAATATTGAATAAATAACCACGGAAAAGTTAGTTATTATTATAAAATACAAATCACCAAAGAATTTAAACTTTAAATGCTTCTAGAGAAAATGTTATGCACTAGTGACATAAATAGGGGTGGACTCGGGCCGGTCGGCCCGAGCCGGGACCGGCCCGGCCCGGTCACTATTTGGCCCGGCCCGGCCGGTTCGGTTTGGCCCGGACCGGGTGCTGGGCGGTCCGGGCTCGGGCCCAGCTTTTGGTGAACCGGCCCGACCAGTTCGGGCCCAGTCCGGGCCGGATTTTAATTTTTTTAATTTTTGAAATTTTTTTAAGTTTTAGGTTGAATTAGGTATTTTGGGCCATTTGAGGTGGTTTGGGATGGTTTGGGGTTGAGGGGGAGGGGTAGGGGGTTAAATAGGAGAACCAAAAACCAAAAAAAAATGTGGGTCGGTTGGCCCGGCCCGGTTTGGCCCGGAACCGGAACCGGAACCGGCCACCGGCGGTTCGGGCTCGGGCCTAGAATTTCTGAACCGCGAACCGGCCGGGCCCAGGCCCGAGTCTACCCCTAGACATAAATGAATGTCCCGATATGTATGACTCTAGACAAGGCTGAATTTTCAATTGAGCCACCCCTAGACTGAATTTTTTGATTTTTACTCATCACTATTCAAAACACAATTTTTCAATTGATATGTCTTACAAATACATTTAACGGATGCATTCATTTTTCTTTTACGTGTAGCTTCAAATCAACTTGTTTTTTGTGCGAAGTGATCGAAGGATTACATTTGGATTTGAAAACTTGTTACTCAAAAGTAAATTAATCATGAATACCAAAGTATATGTGCTTTATTAGGAAACCATCTTATTTAATAGTTCCCCGTTGCTGTAATTAGTCAAATGGTTGTTTTGTAACTTGTACCATAAACTATTTTGAATAAAAAGTGTTTGAATCAAGGGTCTTGTTTATTGGAAGTGAGGGAGTAGTACCAATGCAAATGACCATAGACATGACCAAATTTTGCTTTAACCGGCCGCATTTTAGCATTTTGCACAAAGTAGAATTTTGAACCCTCTAGCCTTGGCATGTTATTGCTGTTAAAAACTTGAAACACCTTTAACAACATTCTAAATCTTACATTCTTGATTTACATATATATGCTTCGTAAACTATACCCTTGAATTGGAACAATTAAAAAAGTGAAAAGAATAAGAGTTAAACCGTCATGACTAAAACGTTATTACAATTTTGATCTATGCCAAACATCCTAACCTTAAACTCTAAAATTTTGTATCTAATAATCTCTTGGAGCACTCTCAAAACAATCAATCATATATTTCAGTTATCGAGGAAATGACGAAAATACAGGAGTTTTGAGTGTGACATGAAAAAATACGGGACTTGGGATTAGATTACGAAAAAGGGGGATTCGGATTATATAATAAAATTGAAAAAAAAAAGTTGGAATGGGACATTCGATGAGAAGGGGAGGGGGGTAAAATCTCAACTTTTTTTTTACGTATTGTAACTTTTTTATTTCTACTTCACTTTTACAAGAGATATATCAAAATTCATAATTTTTTGTTAACATTCATATGACACCAAAATGGGTTGATGCAATAATAGTTCAAAATCTTATTAGGTATTCATAAATTTTTTTGTTAACATTCGTATTTTTTCCCAAAATCACCTTATAACCCAGGAAATAGGTAACCCGAATTTACTATTACGACATGGTCTTATATAATTAAGCTCTCATGAAGAATATACTTCTATTGAACATCACACAAAATACTTTCTAAAATTGATTTTAAGTTATCAACATGGAGGCAGAAATTACTCTCCCAAGGCGGTAACTTTCTCCCCATACCTTGGCTGCCACTCCCCTTCCTTAGTGTAATAACTCTTATAAACAGAAAGATAGCTTCATTCTTTTAGGGCTACCACTTGGTTAAGAGTAAGCATCATTGGAGATCCTTTAAAAGGATCGATCTCCCTACTGATCAGGGTGGTCTGGGAATCAGATCTATTCCTGACACCTATGCTGCTTTTTCTATGAAGCTTTAGTGGACTTGAAACTTGGGGAATCACTTTGGGCTAGGTTTATGAAAGCTAAATACTTTCAGGAATCTCTTAATAATCCTAAACTCATAGTCTTATTTTTGGGAGAGATTGTGTGCAATTAATGATTTAGCTGAGAAAAGGGTAGCAAGAAATGCTTCTCAGTTGATTTGGCAGCTAGCTAGTGATGGAAATTTCACCACTAAGTCAGGCTTATCAGTCCATTCAGAATCACACAGAGAGTACTCTATCAAATCAGCACATTTGGCATCTGAAGAAGCCTTTGCAGATCTCCTTATTTCTATGGAAGTTTTGGTTTGGTTGCTTGGCTTTGCCAGATAATCTAAGTGTCTTTCTGGCAGCTTTTCCTTCTAGATGTCTTTTTTTGTGAGATGGACAATGCTACTAATGAACATATATTCTCTTTATGCACCTATTCCTCTCAAATTTGGAAGCATTTCTCCTCATTGCTTCTTGGAAGTTGGAAGCCGATTGAGAAGGTTAAAATGCATGCATTAGGTGGGGGGCAGCATCACATGATAAATCACTAGACGGTCTCTACATTGCGATTCTCCCACCTCCCGGGGGTAACTTGTGGCACATCTGGAGAGTTTATTGCTCCATCGATCACTTTGTTGCTATATAGTGCTTATCACAAGAGAAAAAGGTTGTGGACAAAAATTCCTTGCTGAAAAGTGAAGGTCTTATCCCCCTTCTTTCAACACAAGACAACCTATGACTGTCAAGTGAAAAAAAACTTCTTTCGCTCGCATAAAAAAATAATTTGGCTGTATATAAGAATGTTGCAGGGTTTATCCTTCATGACTACGAAGGCAAAATGCATGCTGCAGGTACTTCTCAGTTATCCTCCCATAAGACTGAACTATTATGAAGGCATAATGACTGGACACACGTTCATTTATATGCCCTACATGAGGTGATCAAATGGTGTGCAATTAACAGTTATTTAAGCGTTGAAATTGATACCACGTCTGAATACATTGCTGATGAGGTTTCCTGACTTGTTCAGTACGTGCAAAGCCGTATAATCTCTTGCAGAATTATGAAATGCCATCTTATTCCTTCTTGCTCCAATAAAGTTGTTTTCTTGATTGCCCACCTACATAACTTGGATGAGGATCACCTACGGATCTGTGACTCAAGCTCAATGCCTAGTCATATTTTGGATGCAATTGAATTGAACAGATTAGACATTCCGTATATTTTTTAATTTGATCTCGATAATGTACTTTCTTTATGGACAAAGAGGTTTACCTTCTTGGAAGAGGTTTTGGAAATATCCCCCTCTTCTCCTTGTATTTAACGTTGATTCGTCTTTAATAATATCCTGATAGATGTTCCCAAGCATCTACCCATTGATTTTGATGGTTTGTCATCCCGGTTTAGAAATATACGGAGTATATAGATACATATATATATATATGGAAATTACATAAATACCATAATACAAAAGTACAATTTGCGCTCATGAGTAACCTACTCCTAACCCTCCTGCATATGGGGTTAATAAAAATCATAAGCCAAATAGAATACTACACACACTGGCAGTAGTAACCAGGATAATATGAAGTACAAGCGGCCTACCCTTGTCACTTATCAGCAGTCATTGGCATTTCTGAGACTCCACTGGAAGAGGATTCCAAATATGAGATTACAAGATCAGCTGCACTGCAACCGGATAATATTGCTTTGCCTACAGATAGCCCTCCTTTATGATTACCTGCATAGAAAATTCCAGGGAGGTTCTCCTCCATCCTGTCAATCGCTTTCAGGACCGAACCATAGTTACGGCCGTATAGAGGAAATGCCTTACTCCAAAACACATGGTTTACAAACGTTGGCTCTCCCTCCACCCCTAACAACTGTTTAAGGTCAGAAGCTACGATCTGCTTCAGTTCATCCCTTGAAGCTTTTGCAAGTTCTCTGTTTCGACTCCCCCCAACAAATGTAGTGTAAAGATGGACATCGCTGGGTGCTCGGTCTGGAAACATCATAGAAGAGAATATAGTGCCTAGTGTCTTCAAACCATTCTGTTCTTCTTTAGATGGTACAAGAACTCCAAACCCCTCAAGTGGCCGTTTTACGCTCTCTCTTTTGAATGTGGTGATCATGACAGATAGAGGAACATATTCAATCTCAGGAAGAAAGTTGAGCAAAAATGGAGTACCCTTCTTCGTGAACTTCATAGTTTTGACATCAGACAGGGGGGCCGTCATCACAACAGCATCAAAAGGTTCATCCACTGAGTGTATTACGTGAGGTGTGGCATAAGAAACTAACCAGCCATCTAGGCAGTTTTCTTTGTGGCAAGAAGATAATTCTAGGACCTTTGATGAAAGTTTAAGTTCATCTTCGCCTAGTTTTTTGCACAGTGCGTCAGTAAGTGTCTGCATTCCACCTAAAAATGAAAAAGATCCATGCTTACGCTTATTCTTTGAAGCAGCAATTGATCCCTGATTCTTCTTCTTAGACAATATCTTAGATTGGATTGCCCCAAATATGACTGAGCTAAACCTTTTCTCCAGATCCCACAGTTCAGGAAAGGCATGAGTCATTGAAAGTGAATCAGGATCCCCGCCAGTGGTGCCTGCTACAAAAGGATCAACGAGATAATCAACAACTTCCTTCCCAAAATGACGCTGAAAAAATTGGCCCACACTTTCATTCACATCAGACTCTTTGGGGAGCTTCTTATTCATCCATAAAAAAGGCTCCTTGAGTATTTGAAGCTTTGAGCCCACAGAAAGGAAGTTGCTAGTTATCACCTGAATAGGATTTAATGGTAACAAAACGGGAGCTCCATTCCGGACTATATATCGCTTGTTCTGTGAAATCGGAAATTGCTGCTTCTCTCTAAGTCCAAGGGAATCCAGTAACAATTGGACTTCCATTTCAGTTTCAGTCATGGTATTGGCTCCTTCATCCCATACTAGGCCATCTCGGGAACCACTTCTCAGCTTCCCTCCAGCTCTCCCATCAGCTTCGAATACTGTGACATTCAAACCCTGCAATTTCAACTTGTATGCTGCAGCAAGGCCGCTGATGCCAGCACCGACCACCGCAACTCTCTTTTGAGAGAGGTTTGGCTGATCTTGGAGAGGGGTTGAAGCTATGTCCATTCTCGGCAGGAGAATCCACTCCAAGCTGAAGTCAAGACGCTGGAGGAAATACGATCGGCAAAGGTAGCCGCCCAAACAGTGGCGGATCTTGCAACCAAATTGGGTGTTCAAAAAAATTAATGGTTAAAATATTGAAAATTGTTGTGAAATGAAGAAGATGCAGAACAGATTAAAGAGATAGATATAATAATAAAAGCTCTAAATTATTTATTCTTAATATATGATAATTTCTGAATATCTGAATTACTTTACAAGAGTTTGAGCAAGCCCTATTTATACTAGTCAGGCATGAGATGAATCATCTAGGAATGATTCTACATGATTTGCTGGCAGTATTGAATCTAGCCATGTGTGTGATTACAAGGATTTGTGTTTGATGAGTAAGGATGAGAACTAGCTAGGTGTCCTGATTACAAGGATGGACAATTCACACATGTCATTCTAGCCATTTTACAACACTCCCCCTTGAATGTTCATCCTTGAATATGTATTTGTTATGTTAAAAAATATATTGTGAAAATTAGTGTGAAATTAAAGGGGTAAAAATTACGACTTATAATGTCGTTGTATTTAAATGTACTGTCTCGTTAAAAACCTTATCAGGAAAAACCCAGTGGGATAAAAACCTGATGAAGGGAAAAAGAGTGCAGTGCATTCAAATACTCCCCCTGAAATTAACATAAATTATTAAGGCGGCGCATGCCGATTTTCTGTACAAGTTCCATGAACTTCTTCGGGGGTAATGATTTGGTGAAGAGATCAGCTGGATTTTCACTGGATCTGATTTGTTGAATGTTGATTGTCCCTTCTTTCTCAAGGTCATGAGTAGAGAAAAACTTTGGAGATATGTGCTTCGTTCTATCTCCTTTGATGTAGCCTTCTTTAATTTGAGCTATGCATGCGGTGTTGTCTTCGTAGATCACAGTCGGGTGACAACTAATAGCTTTCATACCACATTCATCTTGGATGTGTTGAATCATAGATCGCAGCCACACACATTCTCTCCCGGTTTCATACAGTGCAATTAATTCAGAATGATTCGATGATGTAGCTGTCAATGTCTGCTTCATAGATCTCCATGAGATTGCGGTGTTACCATAAGTAAATACGTACCCGGTTTGTGATTTCGCCTTTTGAGGATCTGATAGGTATCCGGCGTCTGCATACCCGATTAAAGAAGCTGTTGCATCTTTGTGGTAGAATAGGCCGAGATCAACTGTACCACGGAGATAACGGAATATGTGCTTGATCCCGTTCCAACGACGTCTTGTTGGGCATGAACTGTACCTAGCTAATAAATTTACAGAAAATGCAATATCTGGTCTAGTATTATTAGCTAAATACATTAAAGCTCCAATAGCACTCAAATATGGTACTTCGGGACCAAGTATTTCTTCGTCGTCTTCTCGGGGACGGAATGGATCATCGTGTATGTTGAGAGATCGAATGACCATTGGTGAAGTCAAAGGATGAGCTTTGTCCATATAGAATCTCTTCAACACTTTCTCGCTGTAATTGGATTGGTGGATGAAAATTCCATTCTTCAAATGCTCAATTTGAAGTCCGAGACAAAATTTGGTTCTCCCGAGATCTTTCATTTCAAATTCTTTCATAAGATATTTTGCAGTATTTTCAATTTCATCGGGAGTTCCAATAATATTTAAGTCATCAACATATACTGCAATTATGGCGAATCCCGAATTTGATCGCCGAATGAAAACACATGGACTAATTGGATCATTCTTATATCCTTCTTTGAGAAGGTATTCACTGAGACGATTATACCACATTCGTCCAGATTGCTTTAGTCCATACAATGATTTTTGTAATTTAATGGAAAACATGTCTCGAGGTTTCGAGCTATATGCTTCAGGCATTTTAAATCCTCCGGGAACTTTCATATAAATGTCTGTATCGAGTGAACCGTATAGATAGGCGGTCACTACATCCATTAGGCGCATTTGCAGCCTTTCAAAAACAGACATGCCAATGAGAAACCTTAATGTAGTTGCATCAACTACTGGAGAATAGGTTTCTTCATAATCGATTCCCGGCATTTGAGAAAAACCTTGGGCAACAAGTCGGGCTTTATATCTAACAATTTCATTTTTCTCATTGCGTTTACGCACAAATACCCATTTAAAACCCACAGGTTTTACGCCTTTTGGCGTAGGGACTATCGGTCCAAAAACATCACGTTTTTCAAGTGATTTTAATTCAGCCTGAATAGCTTCATTCCATTTTGGCCAATCGTGTCGTTTCCGACATTCTTCAATTGATGTTGGCTCATTGTCATTGTTTTCATTCATTACATTTGTGGCAACGGCATAAACAAATATCTCATTAATATTAATATGTTTTCGATTCCATTGCATTCCAGTAGAAACGTAGTTTATTGAAATTTCATAATTATCAACGTTTCTATCAGTATATGGAATATCTTCCTCATTTGAGGAAGTTGGATCATTATTTGAGATGTTTGTTCTGTCAATATCATTTTCTATGCCAGTATTTTCAAATTGTTCATTTTCTTGTTCAGAAGGATGAACATCTTTGGCATCACAGATCAATTCCTGCCTTTTAGTTTTTCTTGGTTTGATATCTTTTGATCCAAGTGGCCTGCCACGCTTTTTGCGTATTGAGAGAGGAGTTTAGCAAATGCTAAATTTCTAGTCGATAAAAGACTAACATGTGACCAACGTGTTGAAGCATCAATCAACACCATAAAATATCGAAATGGTCCACATGGTGGGGCTATCGGCCCACAAATATCTCCTTGAATCCTTTCTAAAAATGCAGGTGATTCAGTTGCAATTTTGTTCATAGAAGGCCTGATGATCATTTTGCCAAGAGAACAGGCCTTACATGGAAAATCACTTGGTAATGGAACCCTGATATTCTTTAATGGGTGTCCAAGTGAAGTCTTAATGATTTTATGCATCATTACTTGGCCTGGGTGACCTAAACGGTCATGCCACAACATGAATGTTTTCTGATCATCTAACTTTGTGTTAGAAACCAAATTTATTTCAAATGGACTAATATAAGTGAAATATAGTCCTGAGGAATATGCTGGCAATTTTTCACAAATATATTTAGTGCCAGATTTAGTTGTCGTAAGACAAAGATATTCCTTTTGGTTTTCATTCATGGTTTCTATGTGATAACCATTTTGACGCATGTCTTTAAAACTTAATAAATTTCTCCGCGATTTGCTGGAGTATAAAGCGTCATTTATAATTATTTTTGTCCCGTTAGGGAACATCACATATGCTTTCCCAGAGCCTTCAATGAGCTTCGCAACACCTTATATTGTATTGACTTTAGCTTCAACTAAAGTCATTTGAGAAAAATATATTTTATTTCTCAAAATGGTGTGCGTTGTGGCGCTGTCTATCAGACATAGCTCTTTATCATTTGAGTGATCCATATATTCGACATATGTAAATAAACATAAGTTCAAAATGTAAATATGATAATTATTTAAAGATGACTTACACATGTAGAGATAAAGTATAGTATATGCATAAAGTAAACGCGAACATGCCATTTTCCACAAATTGAATTACTTCATTTTTTTTTTGTAAATGGTCTATAACCTATTTTATCTTTTCTACAACTTCAGCTTTCATCTTTATTGCTCCGTATTATTTCCGAACTACTCATTGTGAAGTACAAGTATTAGATAGTATAATGAATTTCTTCTAGTTTAAAGTTAAACGGTCGCCTCTTGGACAGGGTTATATTTGTTTTCTTATGGTCCGTGAATCATCCTTCGTAAAACACATAGTGCAGCAGGTTGACAACTGTCCACTGCACTAAAAAGTCTGTGTATTTCTCTAATAAAACATATACGAGTATTGATCAGTGCATGCGACTTGAGCTTACAGACCCGTGAATATCCATCTTAACTCTAAGATAAATTGGAACTCATACTATGCCGCCTACTATTTTATCATCTCATTTCTTCCTACACTGATAGACTCTTTCTAGTTGCTTCTTTTAAGGGAAAGTTCCCGAAATGGGACTAAAACGGTTTGAAAATTCCAAAATAGGACTGTCATGTTTTTATTCCCAACATAGGAGTAATTACTGTCAAGTTTGGAAAATACTGTCATGTTTATAGTCTGGTACTGTCAAAACATGACAGTAATTACTCCTATTTTGAGAATAAAAACATGGCAGTCCCATGTTTGGAATTTGCAAACCTATTTAGTCCCATTTTGGGTAATATCTCTTCTTTTAATTCCCCAAGTCATGAGTATTATCTTCTTAAAGTAATACATACCGAGGACTATATTTACTCTAAGGTATGTTTTACTTTGTATACGTAGTATCATCTTTCTAATATATCTAGTTACGTAGTACGTATTATTATTATTGCGGAGTAATATGACTTGCCTGTTATTCATAAAATATGAAGTATTTACTTCTGGGCTACGAGAATCTTATCCAGATTGATTGAAGAAAACATTCATTCAAAGGTATGGTGTTATCTATATTTTCTTTTAATTAGTATATGATAGAAAAAATTATTTAAAACACAGAATAATTTTTGGATTTGAATACTAAAAGTAGATAATAAATATGGATTTTAATACCTGCAGGAAATGATGATTTCTTGAAGATTTTGAGCAGAATCATCTAGGAATGATTCTACATGATTTGCTGGCAGTATTGAATCTAGCCATGTGTGTGATTACAAGGATTTGTGTTTGATGAGTAAGGATGAGAACTAGCTAGGTGTCCTGATTACAAGGATGGACAATTCACACATGTCATTCTAGCCATTTTACAACAAAAATCATGTTTTTCAGAAAAAAGGTTAAGGGTAACAAACATTGTATAAAAAATACACTACATAAGTTATTACTTCAATTCTATACATGTATTTTTACATCTTACTTTCAAAATTTTGGATGTTCGCCTGAACCCCCTTGAACAAAGCACGTCCGCCATTGCGCCCAAATACCTTACGCCATAGGTTGGTCCTGAAATTTTTATGGGCCCTGAACAAAAAAGAGGGTCTTGCTCTTATAAAAAAATGAGGGGATTCTAAATACAACCGCGTGTTTGCTAGTTACAGCCGCACACCTTTGTATTCGACATAATTCCAAATGTACCCTTATTATAACGGTGTC